GGTGGCTTGGCATACTCATAAGGAACATAAGTAACAATTGGTGTATCTTGAACTTGAGTTATTCATGCCAAACCATCATTACAACGTTAAATATATCATGATAATCCTGGAAGTTCTACTATGTGGCTGTGTAACATGGCCACTAAAGGTAGATGACATAAGAATGTTCCTAGTGTTTGACCACTGTTGCATGGGCTATGTCGTGGTGTCACCATGTGAGTAACGCAGAAGTCAGGTGTAAAGTTTTAGGGAGGATAGGAAAGTTAGTTGATGTGGTTGTGAACCTTCATGAACTGAGATGGCTGAGATATGTGTTAACATGTCTAGTCACCGTCCACCTCGTCGCGCAATGTTGGCTGAAGGATGTTCAGGTTGGAACAAGACGCGAGGCGGTCAGAGTAATAACGACATCAATGCATACATCCCTTGACTGTTGGTTTGAGTTATATAGGGAGATACAGACTAGCCGGTTAGGGTTCGTGTGACAACAGAAACCAGTGGTTGGAGACGCTAGGTTATATGGATCAGAATGGATGTCAGTGGCGCAGATGTATCCATACTTTATCCTCATTCTAACCGCTTTACTGAATTCAGCGTTTTCTCATTCCTTTTTCCTTAGACAGATTTTTCTTTCCTTCTCCATCTTTCATCTTGCTACATATTATGGTGATATGTGATATGGCAACGTGGACCGTTGTGCAGTAATGCCTGGTCCTATATGGATATTGATTGATTGATAATTTTGTAAAAAGTTGACGATGGTCAAATTGCGACATGAAATGAACCCATGTCACCACTAATTGTTAGTTTAAAACCTATAAAGGTGTGTACGTCGCTTAGATTGAACCACTGAAATGTTTTGGATCAGTGGTAGGTGACCGTTAATGACATAAACCAAAGTGAATCGCAGTGGTGCAGGTTTATTCAGTATTTATCATCTGGATGCTCAACGTTTTAATGATTTGTTTCACTGTAATTATCTTTTTTCATTCCATTATTATCTAATGTTTGTTTAGGTAACGTCAATTTATACAGGCATTGAAATATGATATAGCTAAATGGTATGGGTTATTGTATAGCTTTCGGGTGTTATTGAAAGGAGGTCTGAATTTGATGTGAAGTATTTTTATGTTAACTCTTGAAATTGACACGGGGGACCCACAATGGTGTTGTTGTATATATTTCCATAATCCAATGTTTTGACTATAATGTGTTTAAACCAGTAAACTGACCAGTATAGTATTGAAGTTGTTTTTTTCCACTGATTGAAACGATCACTTTCAGTTAGCTTGTGAACGCTATACTTTTCATTTTCATCTTTAGTATTGTTATTACTAAAGAGTCTAAACCTCATGTTTAGTTGAACAGTAACCCTCGCTTACCTAAGGTCTAACACTTCAGACTATGAATACACTCTTCTAAGTTTCACATACGGTTATTCAACTGATTTCACCTAGACAGTGTAGTTAGTCTACTCAACTCACCTTGTGAATGTTGCGTGACCGATTCTATGACCTTTTTCATTTGATCTCATTAGTTTGTCGATCATATAAAGTTCTGGAATAAGAAATACAAGAACATCTGTTCATGTACCTTCAGAACATCTAACATACATCATATTAGTGGCTTTTATATCGAACACATTTGATAACGAGGCAAAAATTCAGGTCATTCAATTTACTTCGCGACAGCGTCACGTGAGGCAAAGCTATTAAATTTCATTGTAAACAAAGTTTTGTGAAATTTTCTCTTCCAAATGGTATTACTATTTACTAGGATTTTGTATGTTTTCGTACTGATTATTTTTCGCTTACCAGTATACGCATTTTGAATTCTTCTTTCAGTTCATTGTTACCAATTTTCGTCGCGTCTTTGTTTCACACCATTTTATGACTATTCTATTATTTAGGCCGTGGCGGGATTCCAACCAGCTACCACCGCCTTTCCGCTCATGTGCTCTACCAACTAGGATACAAGGCTCGACTGCTTTATTATTATTATTATTATTATTATTATTATTATTATTATTATTATTTGTCCTTTGGCTTCCTAGTGGAACATGGAGCTTCAGTTTACGTCACCATTTCACTCTCTTCTCTCCAGTCTTCTGAACCTGACTCCAACACTGTCCAGAAGCTTTCATTTCTTCCTCACATGATCTATTCCATGTCACCCTCACCTCAGACGACCAACTCATCTTTTCCCTTTTGGCTTCCAATCGACAGTCTGGCTGGACGTGTGATATCCCCGAATGGTCTTCTCAGTGTATATCCAGTCCAATCCATCTCCACTTTCTTCCTCTGCATATTTGTTGGGCGATAGATTCCTCCTTTGGTTCATTGCTAGTCAGCCAGAGTTCCTTGTTACTCATTCTTAATATTCTGGCCATCTGATCGATCTTCAGGATGAAGTGGGTGTAGGCGACAGCTGTTCATCCATGTCTGCAGGTTGTTGGAAGTGCTTTTCGTAACGTACCAACTCTCCCAACCATCACATTGAAGCACTGACCTGATTGAATTAGTGTTGAAAATCCGAGTCTTGTTGACGCTTTATGCTGAGTGTAGTGCAGTGCAGTGCAGTGCAGTAGATCTCCACACTGATTTCAGATTGATGTCTTCCCTACATTCACCTGAAGAAAGTCCAGTCTTCGCCATCCTGCCTCGCCTCTTCTGCCAACTTGTTAGTTTTTGCCTATAGATCTTCGAGCTTGTGCGACAAGACATTAGACATAAATCATCATCGTTGGTAAAATCCAAATCTTCTAAGGTCCTTCCATCGGTACAGCCAGCGTATGCCTCTCTTCTCCCTCCTCACAGTTTCTTGTACAATCCAGTCGAGTAAACCACAATCAGGAAGATGATCGGTGATAGAAGTTGGCAACCTTGTCTTACTTCTGTCTTCACTTCAAAGACATCACTGAATTTTTCATTGTGAAGCACTTGGCATGTAATATCATACAGCATATAACTGTTGAATGAGGTTGATACAGGTTTGTGGCACTCCGTAGTGCTGAAGCAGCTACCAAATTAGTTTTGGTCGACGCTGTTGACGGCTTTTTCAAAATCGATGAAGTTGAGGTCGAGTTGACTGACATTCTACACTCTGTTCTATTATGATGCGTAGCGTAGCGTTGCAATCTAATCCCCACATGATTTGTTCTTCCTGAAGCCATCCAGCCAGCCTGTTCAACTTGAATCGTTAGACTAATCCTAGATCCTTTTGCGATGCAAACTACTATTTTAGAAATTCATTTTTTTTTGCATAGCATTTATTTTTTAGACACGAACTAAAGATTAGGATGACAATTTGACCCCATGTAGAGTTTGAATTCATAAACCTATTATGTTATTCTTCCGTGTCCAACAAACTGTTATGGGAAACCCGAAACTTCATCCTTACTCTACTTTGTTTTTGTTTTTAGAAAATTGTCTTGGAATAGTGAGAAACAGTGTGTAAAATCTTTGTTTTATATCGAAAAAGGAGACGAAACTATGCTACTGATTGACTTTTCAGAGCTAACTGTCTTCAGAAAACATCCCTGCAATATATATATATATATATATATATATATATATATATATATATATAACCCATGTGCTACCATCAATGACTTTTTATGCTGATGTCACAAAGTAGCGTTGTCTGCATAATTCCGCCTAAATGCTATAGTTCAATGGTGTATTTTTATAGCAATGTGATTTATTTGTTGTTGTCGATTGTTTACTAGGGAGATAATCTGTTAAAAAACCCTCGATTTTTATAATTTGATTTGTTTACTCTTAAATATTATGATACTTTTTTCCTCGTTAATTCTAGTTCATATCTGTTAAACTCGCATTGAAAATAATAATAACTGAACAGGTGTTGTGTTCCGTTGTATAATTTCTCACCGGCACTTCTTACCTGCCTTGGTATCAGACAAATGGCTGTTAAATACTATGAAAAGTTAGTCTTCATTTCAGTGACTAAAAGTAGTTTCAACAGATATGCTGTAACATTCTCCAACATCATCTGTGTTAATGTCATTGAAGGAGTTGATATCAATGATATCATTGAGTCTAGTGGTTAACCTCCTAGGATGAGATGTCAAAACTAAGATGACAACCTGTAACTTGAACCTGAATCAATTGTATTTTATTCTGTTTCCTAATTTCATCGATTCGCAACATAGCGCAACTATCCAGCAAGTTCTTTAGTTGGTATTCGCTTCCTTTCCGACTAGCTGACTTCACAGGTCAGGGCTCCTCATTAGAACTTCGGGATATCCATCTTGAAACATTTGCTTCCAGGTTTCCAACGGTTCTCCAACTGATGTCAGTCCTTGATGAATAATATCTTAAAAGCAAAATCCTTATTAACCTCAAAACACATCTGAAGCGATCAACTACCTTGATGATATCAAGTTATTAACTTCAAAACACATTGCTGTGTAGTGCTCATTAGTGACAGGCTTCGAGATGGATATCCCGAAGTCCTGAGGAAAAGGTGTAACCTTTGGGGTCAACCAGTCTGAAGTGAGGCGGATGCTAACAGATGACCTTGGGTGGTAGTCGTTCTATACCGCGAATCAGCAGAAGTAGGAAACTGTGGACCATTGAACTCTGACCCAGTGACTGAATTGTTAACATGTTCACCGTGGAACCTGATAGTCCTTTATTTGATCCCTTATGAGGCAACATCGTAGGTGTATGCTACTCAGGCGTCCTATACTAGATAGTTGTAAGTGTTCAGTGTTAGATCTAAACTGTTAGGTAGCACTGGTTTTTGGTTTTCATACTTGTCAGTACTCATCAATATTGTGTATCTGCAAGGATGATGAAACTTATCCTGATGATTGTAATCCATCTTAATCACTGAAACACTCAGAGATTCTACCTTTAAGAGATACTCATCTACTAATTGATTGGTAACTGATGTAGTTTTATACTTTTCATCGAATTATGTATGATACATAACTTCATTTCGTCATAATAATTACTTTTTCTCTTATCTATGTACAGATGTATAATATGTATGTGTGAATATGAGGAAGGTGAAGAACTTCGATATCTTCCATGTTTACACACCTATCATCGGATCTGTATAGATGATTGGCTTATGCGAGCACTAACATGTCCATCTTGTTTAGAAGAGATTCGTCCCAATTCTCCAGCAAAAGTTCATTCTAACAACGATAGTCAAACAGTCACTGTCAATGGTTCTTCAGAGATGACTACTTGTACTCCAACAATTGAAGCTTCTATTCCTACTTCATGCTCTCAACAACGACAGGATAGTCGACCTATAAATGAGTCTCGGGGACCTTGTATTACTGAATTACGTTCTAGAAATATACGCTCTAATTCCTCTAGTCACTCTCAAACTATGCATCGTTTGATATTGGGCAAACTAAAAAGTCATAATAACAGTAGTGGTGGAGATATTTCAGATATTCTAAACACTTCACCAACAAGTGTTCATCCTCTTCCTTCTAATCCTCAGCCTCATTATCATCGACGTACACGATCAATTGGTTCTAGTAGACGATCTCATTCTGTGCATACTCCCAGTGCAAATTTGCTTGATACTTATCGTCGAGGTAATAGTGTAACAGCTATTGATATGATTTATCCTGTACAATCAAGTGAAGATAACTTGTTGTCATCAGTGTTACCAACTAATCAAAGTGATTTTCCTAGTCCAATAAATACACTGACTCATCCAACTGTTTTACGACAATTAAATGGTGATTCAAACGAGGTTAGTTATTATTTTTGTTTTATTTTCATTGACAAGAATAAGTGTAAGCATACCTTTCAAGTTGACTACCTTATAATACACTTAATTTATAAGTTTAGATTATTTCAGCTAATCACCAATGATAGATTATTGGTTTCAAGTTAGTATTCATCAAGGACTGACTGGCATCGGTTGGAGAAACATCGGAGACCTATGAGCCTTGGGTAGCTGTTTCATTCTAGTATGGGACTCCTCAGCAGTACTCACCCATGACCTTGCTGGGGATTGAACTCAGTGCCTTCAGGTTCCGCGACCAGTAACTACTATTGAGCCTCTGGGTTCTCCACCCGACATGAACCCATGATGAATACCAGCTTAAAATCAATAAATAAAACCCCACAAACCTCCAAATTGATAAATTATTGTTTTACAGGATTCATGATTGAAGTTGAAGATGCTAGGTTATCATCCCGATGCTCCATAAATCACCACTAAGCATTCTTGACCTTTTAATTAAGTGTAAGTGAATTACCTATGTAAGTACAGCCACAATGTATTAACCCTTTGTTCTTCCGGATCCTGTCATACAAACACACTCATTTAAACAGATATAAGAACAGACTAACTATTATTGTAGTATAGTTGCAGTAATACTTCTTGTGCTTCTAAGTGTTTTGAGGTGCGATGACAGCCGACCAATAGCTCCTACCTTGACGTGGTGGTTAGGCTTGTATATCATAACGACCTGATGAGCTGTACTGGTGGAACGCTTGTTCCGTGGAGATTCTACCATACCGGAAAGGATTGTTGAATAGTGGTTGGATAAAAAGTAGTTACCATTATAGGATAATTTGCTACGTTATGATGGGGGTCTAAGGGAGGTTTCGTACTGTTGACTGGATGGCAGTTTGACAGCAGTAAGGCATTTCTCTTGAATGGCCAGCAGTAGTACTCTAATGCTGCCTTCACTGTGGGAAGAGGAGATGGCAGTTAGAAAAGGTCGGCCTCGAAAATAGAACACTCCTATCACTGCATAGAATACCGATGCCTGAGATATGGGTTTATAGCCGGATACGAATGCAATAAACCTAAATCTCAAACTTTCTAAACAGTCATGTGTGACCAGTCTCAAGCAAATATCCCTTAGGCTCTGAAGTCACTCACTAAACCTTATTTTTCAGGTGCCTCAAGAAAAAGGAACATTCCACGGTGTGGGCAGCTGAGAAGTGTTAACCACCCTCACAACTCTGACAGCACCCAAGTTTCCTCAGGTCACTATCCACCTCCCACATCCTTAACTTACAACCTTCACGTCTCAGTTAATCATCTAATATCACCTTAATTTTTTCCGGTTCTGTAGCTATCGACAACGGTTTGAGTTCACAGAACAGCAATCCTGGTCTCCTGAAACCACCCTCCAAACTATATATTACAGCCTTCAATTTCCGAACCCCCTCCTTCAAGTCAACTAACAAGCTTCACTAACCAAAACTCTAATAACTCGGGCCACGGATGCGTTCTGTGTTTGCGAGATACGCGAACAGGACACATGTATGGTTATTCACTTAAGGTCACTTGGCCAATATGATGAATCTGCAAAATTCACTGTTCGAGTTTCTGGAGATTCGATGGCCAGTCCTTGCGATCTTGCAGATGTAGATATCACATCGAGCACTACGGTATAAAGTTCTCTAGTTGTGTGGATCCCAGGTGACAGTTACCGATGCGCTGTTCGACTGAACGACATAATGAGGAGAGAAAAGAATAATGGAATTCCCCGTTGTTTTTTTGTAATCTCTATTTACGCACCCCCTGACTCCAGTTTTGATGAAGTGAAGGATGAGTTTTACCGTAAACTGCCTACCCTCATACTGAAATCCAATCGCTGAAACCTGTTAGTTGTTGCAGGTGATTTCAATGCACAAGTGGTTAGGCTATGAAAGGCGCTCATATGGCGCTTTCGGAACCCCAGGCAAACGAACAGATAATGACGATCGCCTACTACAACTGTGCTCAGATAACATTTAGTTCTAGCCAGCACAAATTTCAGACATAGAGAGACATTGTCTGACGTGAAATACATCAACCTCAACCCACCGGCGGATATAGATGGACCATATTGGTATTAGTTAACGCTGGAGGGGGTCTATGGTAGACTACCACCACTTCTAGAGCACGTTTGAATATCAACATAGCGTCGGTTCGAGCACGTTTATGTCTGCATCTCAATGGACGTAGGAAAGCCTTACTGAATGACAAAACCAGCGTAAGACCTCGCACAGAGGTGCATTGGTCCAAGTTACCACACTTCGCAACGGTACACAAAGAACGGGTGAATAGAAAAAGACTGATATTAAAGTAGACAAAGTTGTGTAAGAGAATAAACAATATGCAAATAGTGCGAATATTCAAGCTTATGAAGATGTCAAGGAGTGAATACAACTGCGACATTGTGACTGATTTTCAGCCGTATCACCAAGAGTCTTCAACCACTGATTCTCTTCGTCTCAGGGGCCCCAACCAAGCAATCTACATCGCCCAACACAACTCAGTCCAACAGTAAGAAACTTCATCGACTGATGCGATATCTTATTTTGGCCACCCTGAACCCTCTTCCAATCTTATCCAATTTCCCCTATCATGGTACTTCTAGCTTAGGGGGTGGCTCGGCATGCGCAGTACATATCCAAGCCATCTCAGTTGACTTACCTGTCTTGTCTAGTACCTTTCTCTGACCTCAACATTGCGCACACGCTGATTCCATCGAACACGACCAATGCTACGAAGATATCTGTGATCGAAATCAGTAGAAAAGGATGACTTCGTGATTGACTCGTAGGGTAGACGACTAGAGCGGTTGACGGAGTACTTTGAGGAACAGTTCAACTTGCCTCCTGCTACAATTTCGTTGTCCACTACTTAGTCGGTGCCTAAATCGAACATTGAGATGCATCCCGAACACTTTGCAGACTTCGACGAAACTGTAGGTGACCTAAAACAAGGAAGACTGAGAGGGTCAGATGGACTAGTTCCAGAAGTGTCTAAGGACGGTGGTAAAGGATTTTCTGTCAAGTTAACTGGAGTGTTAACTAGTGTATGGGAGTCAGGTACGTTTCCCTCTGATTGGTCTCAATCGCTGATTGTCCTAGTCTTCAAGAAAAGTGAGAAATCCTCATATGATAACCGCAAAGGAATCAACCTGATGAATATGGTGTGTAAGATTCTTAATTTTATGATCATTAGATGTCTAAGTGGGAATAGCAAACGCGAAAATACCAGGCAGGCTTCAGACCTGACCGTGAATATATTCACCAGATATTCACACACTGACAACCCACACCAGCCGTATTTATCGACCTGAAGACGATGTTAGACTTCATCGGTCTAGAGGTCTTGTGGCATTTTCTCCCACTGGGATGGGTGCCGAGTAAGTACATTATTCTGTTGAAGCCTCTTTACTCGAACACCAGTAGGCGTGTTAGAATCTACGGTCAGTTGCCAGTTTAGGTGTGTACATCAAATGGTATCCATCAAGAGTACTCACCTTCCTATTCCTGATCCACTTTGTCGTAGATATTCTCATGGAGATCTCCTTCTGACCATCTGACTTCACAGAGACTGATCTAATCACAAGGGAATTCTGTATGTATGTTCAATACGCAGATCGGGTAGTCTTGTTAGGTGGAGATGCTGATAAGATTGTAGTCTTCTGGCAATTTGAAAATGTTTTGGGGGCGTTTCTCGCCACAAAAATGCAAAATGTTTCTCCTGAACTGATCTTCAGTGGTAAGAAGAGAGTGAAGTGGTTGAGTGTGTTGACTACTTCACTTACGTAGAAAATCGGACCAACCCTCATGGGTCAGCGGGCGACGAAACTGCCGTGATATCTGATTGCCTATTAATGGTCGAATGCACTGTGCTGCAGTCTGCTCTATTTTACTGTTTGTTTGAGTAACATGGCGATTAAAGGTAGAGTACATGAACACCACTGCTTTAATAGCATAAACCGTGTGTCGCGGTGTCACTATGGCAGTAACCCAGAGGTCAAGTACAGAGTTTTAGAAGGAGAGGAAAGTTAGTTGAAAAGGTCATGAACCTTCATCGACTGAGATGTCTGCGACATGCGTTAAACTGTCTACTTCGTCACGCAATGTTGACTGAAGTATGTTCAGGCTGGAAAAAGAATCGAGGCGGTCGGATTACTAATGACTTTAGTGCATAAAGTCCTTGACTATTGGTCTGAGCTATGGATCTGTTGCTCAATGGTTTAGAGAAATAACCAGTGGATCACAAGTTCGAACTCCGCCCTACCGAAGTTTTGGTAACCAGGTAGTATTACTAGACCTCATTCAATAGTTTTGGCTCGTTACCTACTGTACGTATGTGTACAGTATGTCTGTGTGCATTCTTTTCCGGTCTGAGCCATATAGAGAGATGCAGACTAACCGATTGGGGTTCACGTTACAAAAAAAACCGGTGATTGGAGACTGATAGGTGTTATAACTCAGAATCGATGTCGGTTACGCAGATATATCTACACATTATTTTCATCGAAACTGTACTGCTGATTTCAACTTTTTCTTATCCTTCATTTCTTTCTTTTGTTGCTTTCTACTGCTTTTGAGTGACTTGTCTTTCTTCATGTTACATTTCATTGCTTTGTTACTTGTTGTGCTGATATAAGGTGAGACAAATTGGACTGTGACACAGTATTGCTCGATCCTATGTTAATATTAATTGGTTGGTAGCAAAGTTTTCTTCTTTATTCCCAGTTTTAATACCGTTGAATTATATATGCATTGAAGCATGAAAAAGATTACTTAGTAAATGCGATGACATTTAAGTCTTAATTAATTTAGTCTATGTTAATTGAGAAATACTGAAATTCTTAAAGTCATTTCTGACAGTTTCAATGGAGCCTAACATTCCTTTGGTCTTAAAATAGCATGAAATTACTGTTTTGTACTGTTTACTTTTAGATGGGTTTTTTCGATCCAATAAGAAAAAAAGGTGTGAAATAA